TAGACAGGGTGTCTGCCTCACGGACTAAAACTGGTAGTTGGTTCCACAGGAGAGGAGCCTGATAACTAAAAGATCTTAAGGGGAGTGTTGGCCTAGCAAGGGGAGTGGCGCCCTAGTAGTTAGGGCATTGTGCTTGAAAACCAGAGGTTCTGAGTTCAAGCCCCACTCCCACAGACTGCCACTGTGGGTCCCTGAGCAAAGACCCTTAACCCCACACTGCTCCTCGGGCGATGCACGATGGCAGCCCACTGCTCCCCAAGGGGATGGGTTAAATGCAGGGAGTTAATTTTGTTGCTCTTTACTTGTGACAGTGTAATGACAATACAAACTGGGGTGGGAGAAATCTGCCTCCAGACTGAGGGTGAAGTGCTCTGTTAGGAGCATAAGGAACATAATTTTTTTCTATAACATCAATGGGACAATAGGGCCCAATATGCTAAATAAATATAACTGTGGGTAACTAGAATTAGAGTTTAGTAAGCCAGTTGTTACCGGCTGTTTTGATTCAGATAACCCTGAGTATAACAGAGTGAAGTAGTTCTACTCAGGGTATCTTTCTTGTTTTTGAACTGATAAAAGAATATTCTTCTAAACACATCAGGGAGGATTTACTACAATCTGGTTTCAGGCATACTGTAGCTGTTTGGTGGTGACAACCAATCCAAAGTCAAGCGGGGTGGATGGGAAATTCAGTAATTAAGAAGGAACTTGCCCAAGGTGGCAAATAGAACGTTTAATGAACAGAAATGCTCTGTAAAAGTTTTTTGGTTAAATAAAACGTTTACATGCAGCTGATAAAAACAGACCATTTAATCTTAAATGTAATTGGTGTGAGGAATTGATTTTGAGTTAATGAGTCAATGCAATCAGCTGGCTTTCATCAGATAGAAGACTTTGACTCAATTTGACTGTATGATCTGGATGAATTGTCTCTGTAAAGTGCCTTGAGATGACATGTGTTGTGAATTGGCGCTATAGAAATAAACTGAATTGAACTGAATCTGTCTTGATGCTTTCAGATGTAGATGAATGCAAACTGTTTGATAAGGAGGTGTGTAAAGGTGGCTACTGTGGGAATACAGAAGGAAGCTATGAGTGCTACTGTACCAGCGGACACTACTACGATCCAATCAAGCTGGAATGTACAGGTCAGACAAAGTAAATGCTAAATGGTGTGTCAAATAGATTGTCTGTGATTCACTGTCAAACTGATAAATGCTGTTTCTTTTTGAAATACTTGTCTCTTCCTCTGTAGATGTCAATGAGTGTTTGGATGAGTCCATTTGTGGAGGGGAAGAATGTTTGAACACGGAAGGTTCATACATTTGCTTATGTAAACCCCCAATGGTGCTGGATCAAATCTCTAATCTCTGTGTCGAAGATCTCCAGCTGCCTGGTGAGTTTTCAGTTTTTTGAAACATGGTAAAAAAAAAAAAGACTATTTTGTCTAATAAAAACAAATAACTTGCACCAATCAGAGATTTAATGTTTGTTTTTTTAACTCATATTTTGTAAAGCTCTGATTTGCTAAAAGAGCTCATAGACAATTGTGATGTCTGTGAATAATAAGCAGGAGTCCATAAATAAACAATGAGATATCTCTAACTTGTTCTTAGGAGTCAGTGTGCTTGTTTCCCAATGAGCAATGGAGAAGGATACACACAGACCCACGCCAAACCTGGGAACACCCCCCTAACCCTAACCCAGCCCCTAGAAATCAGTTAGCAAGTCCCCAAAAATGTAAAGGAACAAAAGATAACTAACCCCCTCAAGTGTTAATTGACCAAGTAATAGTTGTTACAAAATCATCTTAAGTTCAGTCCATCGTAGTATAATCAAAGTATGTCTTTTTTACTAGGGAAGTAATGTAATATTGGTGATATGTTCCTTGCTGTACGGTTGTTGGCTCTGTTATTTAGCAGCATGACATCTTTTCTTTTTTGCTGTATTTCATTTATAACTTAAAGCAGAGGTCTTCAACAGGGGGTCCACAGAGGTACTGCTGGGGGTCGCGAAAGTTTTGGTTGATTAAATTTTTTTTTTATATTCCCCCTGCAATTTTCTTCCACTAATTGAAATGTCTTCAAATCCACATTAACATGAATTCAACACACTGTAGTAAACAGATAAATGGAGGCAGAAGATGTCTTTCAGTCATCAATGCACACATTCAGCGACACACAGGAGCTCTTTCAAGCTGGGCACCGTTTCATTCACAACACCTGTCCCATCAACCAGGAATCAGAATCAGAAATACTTTAATAATCCCAGGGAGAAATTAATTTCATTACATCACTCCATCTGTAATAGAGTGATTATAGGACCAGTTTGATAGAACACAATTTCATACAATATATATACAATTAGGGGCTCCCCGCTCCATCTCGCCATGGACGTTGAAGACCCCTGACCTAAAGGGTTGTTTCTGACATTTTAAATAGGAAGTTTCAACTGGCACCTCCCGAAAATTGGGGCTACAAGTCATTCAGTCAAAAGGACATTACATGACTTGTTTTTTCAAGATGGCTGTGACTTGAGCAGTTGCTAAGAACTGCTACTTTTCTGTTTTAGCATGCTGTATCGTCTGTGTAACATTTACACATGCTAGATTTTAGGGTCCATAAGAAATCTTTCAATGCTTTTCTTTTTTTTTTTACTCAAAATATATGGCCACATATGGCCATTGAAGAAATAAAGCATCCAAAAGACAGGAACTCGAATGCCATTATCTCAGTGTTCACATTACTCCAAGTTGCCAGTTCAAAACCCTGAGGTAAATGTAAGCAGCATAGGGCCTCCAAATTCCAAATGCTTGCTCTAAACCATTGGGATTAAGTAACAGAAACTCAGCAAGGATGGATGGAAGGACAGATAGATGAAGTAGTACCTGCATAAGCCAAAATTGCAGCACATGTAGCTGCAGCCACAAAGAGCTCACTATTTAGCAAAGGCGACACACTGAGAAGGACCTATATGCAGACTTAAAACAATACTGGTCTGATTTGAACCCAGATGGTTTCGACTTGTTCTTCTAGATAATTTACTTGACCATGGTGCCAAAGCAAGACAAACCAGCCAGCATTCGGGCTCATCTAACTGTCGATCGGTGAGATCGAGCCATATATGTGACATGAGCAAGTGTTTAAACAGTGGTAATATGGTGAAAATTATGTCATGGCTGCATCAAAATGTCCCCAACCATTCTGCAGAATTAAAAGGCTGCGCTATCTTCAAGGCTGACTGCCCACCATGTTCCATTAAGATTAGAGGAAGGGAGGGTGTGTCTATAACATGAACTCTTGGTGTATGCCTGCTGTTGGTATTCACAAACAATGCTGCCTAGATCTGGGACATTTACTTTTAAAATGCAGACTCTTTCTTCAGTCTAGGGAAATGTTTGTCGCTGCTGTGTATGGAAAGCCATGGTTCAACGGTACCTTAGCCATAAACAAGCTGGAGGAGACCATTGTGGAGTTGTAGAAAACTGACCCACACGGTGCGAGAAATAGCACAGATTTATTTTTATGTCTGAAGACGGAGAAAAAAAGCTCTCTGCCTGGGGCAAGCCCAGTACACACATTTATACAACGACTCCCAACACACACTCCCAGGGAAACCATCCCACCCTACCAAGGACTTTTCCTTAGTTGTTTTATTATATCTTTCACTGGCCAGATGGAACATCTCACAACAGTCACCCTCCTGTTCATGCCATGGGGGAGGCTGAGGAAAGCCCCACCACTCCTTCTTATCTCTCATGACCTTCTCTTTCACCCTTATTAAGCTCAGGAAAGACATACTTTAATATTTTTTATCCCACACCATCATAGAACAAACAAACTCCCAGAGGGCCTTTTCATCTAGATGAA